TTTTCTCAAACAAACAAACAAACAAACAAACAAACAAACAAACAAACAAACAAACAAACAAACAAACAAACAAACAAACAAACAAACAAACAAACAAACAAACAAAGACCTGCACTGTATAGAGTATCTCCATATTTTTTTTTGCGGGGATGTTTTAGACTCTTTCCTGACAGGCGGGGTCAACTCCGGACTGATAGGGGTATACAGCATTTGTACAAACATTTTTCTTTCAAAGATAGTGAGTTCAATGTCTGGACACTGGAGAGGTATAGGGGTAGTGAAGTGTAAGTAAATTGGAAAGGGGAAGAGGGATGGCGGGGTGGGGGTGGGGTGGGGAGCGTAGTTTACATGCACTAAGAATTTTATTGTAGGCATGTAAGTTACTGTGAAGCGTTTCCTTATTATGTCCTTGGAGTTCCGTGCAAAACACACTGCAGACACGGCAGGTCCCGCGGTACGTTATGCGAACTTGAAAACGAACAGGTCAAATGACACCCTCCACCCCCACCCCCACCCCCCATATCCGAAAAATGCTGTGCTAGTGCTGTGCACAGGCCTTGTATTCTTTTGAGAAGATTTGTACTTCTGAGAAAGCAATAGGGCAGTATGAGCAAATTCCATCTGCAAATTGTGTACAGCTAGGAGAAAAACTCTCCCTTTTTATGACTGAACTCATCGACAATATCTCTGAAGTGTAACTTTTCTGCGTGAAAAAAATAAATAAGTAAATAAAACAACGTCTATGAGGTCTGGCGTGAGGTATTAAGAGGGGGGAAAATATTCTGCAGGAAAAAAAATAGAGCTGATATTTTAAAAAAAAGTTAATTAACTTAACGACGAACGGGCAAGCAAGCATATTTCATGTTCACTGTAACCAGGAAGGATGAAGTTCCAATCAACTTCCGTTTCCGTGAAATTTATTGAGAATGTGAGAAGCAAATTAAATGACACTTATTTAAATTTTCTCGCTAGAGAGACAGTTTTCAAATTCAAAATTTGAACACGAGCAAAGAGATGAACTAATGGCAAACACATGCACATACGTTTTAACATAATCTTTTTTCTTTATTAGATCTATATTTCTTTCCGATTTGCACATGAATATTTGTTGCAAATTCAGACAGCTCGTTCACCTTGAAATTAGAGCTGGCATGGGTCTATTATTTCAGCTCTCTAACGGAGTTTCTTTGATGTATTCTCAAGTCATGCGCTAAAAGTTGACCATGATATTGTCTGCGATCTTTCAATATACCAACAGCACTCAACGATAAGGTGCCAAATCTGTTAACGTCTGCTTGTACTACATGTATAGGTAAATCAGATCCTCTCACCTTACCCCGGGTGGTCAAGGGTGAGGGTTGTCTTTTCGGCGACTGTCTGTCTGAATCTGTCCAAAAGTATCATCATTACCGAGTGCCAGATCTGCGACAGACATCGGCGATCACGGTCATCCATTCATTCTTTTGCTCAGGTGCTCTCAAAAAAGCTACACTACCCTGACCTTTCCATGTCACCTAGATCTACCGGTTTACTGTTTAGGCTCTCTAAGTAGGTTGCCCTGGGTCTACATCTTGTTCGTTTACCTTCAAGTTTGCTCTTGAGAGCTAGATGTTCAAGGCCTTTTTGTCTATTTATGTGTCCCCCAAACTGCATCTTATCTTGATTATTTTTACCCGCGACTCATCCACGTTGGTTTCTTCAATACTATCCAATTTGATAATTTTTTCTTCCAAGAATTTCTCAGCACTCCCTTTAGAAAATAAATTTCTGTTACTTCTATTTACTGTCTTTAGTGATTGTCCACTATTCAGAGCCGTATAGAAGGATTGACCATACACTGCATTTCAAGACTTTTATTTTGATAGTTATTGAGATGTATCTATTTTCAGGATTTGGCTCACTCTGTTGAAGGAAAGCGTCCTGGTAGCGACCGAAAAATGTTCTTCTCTAAAATTGTCTCATTTCACTTTCTTTCCTTCTCTCTTGCAATATTCTGTCGTCAGCTTTCGTCTCCACTTTCTTCCTGCACCCCTTCACCTCCTTCCCTTACCTCATTTGCCCCCTCCACTGGGCTTCCGATTCTTTCTGCAGCCATTCTACTGCTACTCCTTGGCTCGTTCTTACTGCTGTCTTTCAGCCACACCCCTGATCTTGTGGTAGGAAAGATCAACCCCTAGCCTCGGACAAGGGCGAAAGATCTCGGAGGTCCCGTGTGCAAGTTGCGCACGTTAAAGATCCCTTGGTTGTCCAAAATCGATTAGAGTAGGCTTCGGCTGCAACCCGGGCAAAATTCAAAAATTTCTACCAATTGAAAATGTTTAGTGTGTCCCTCGCGCTCATATGACCTTATGCAGTTGCGAGCGCCGTAAAACACTTAATTAAAATTTTTAAAAAGAAACTTTGTTGAAACTTGCCTTAGCCATTACAATTCTACTTTTTATTTCCGTGAAACATTTGGCATCAGTTGTAATTATCATAAACTTTTGCTGAAATTCTATGATTTTTTCACCTCTGTTGTTGAGACTACAAAATCACAAAGAATAGTACAATGTGCTGTCAAATTGTCCAGCAAATAATAATTCAGATAATAATCATAAAATAATAATATAATAACAAAAATGATAGATCTAGTAATAATAATAATAATAATAATAATAGCAATAATGTTCTTGATGAGGGTAATGATAA